GGGGCGTGATTTATCATAAGCAGTCACAACAATGGCATTCCCCGAAAGAAGGATGGTCCTGTTGGAGGCAGGCAGAGTCATGCGTTTATTGCTGAAGGCATTGTCAGAATGTAGTCTGTCATGTTATAAAAGTTCCTTGGTGATTAATTTGCCCTTAAGCAAATGCTTAGCGACAGACAGGACGTGTCAGGGCGGTTGGAGACGACAGGAAGACTGAGGGACTCTGTGGTTAACAGTGCCTGTAGGAGCAGTAGCCAGAGACAAGGTTGGAAGCCCAGGCAGAGAATGGCGGCTAGATCGTAAGTGCCAGTCTAATTTGGCTGGATTAATACATTTCTTTGAAAGTTTAATTACAGATAAGTTTGTTTTTAATCCCAAAGACCTTAAAGTCTTAAGATTCTCAGTTCCAAGTTTTTTGAAACAGGTGTTCAGAAGCCTCACCATTGGAAAGAGTATGCTATATGCAATTTTTTATTGAATGTTAGTTAAGTGAGTCGGTTAAGCATACGTTGGTGACAGGACTGATGGATTTAGGAGTTCTATCAAGATACCTGTATTAGTTCTCCAAAGAAGCAGAAGCAATAAATTATATAATATGTAATATATATATGAATCTGTAAAAATAGTTTATTATAAGGTATTGGCTTGTGTGATTAAGGAGGCTGAGAAGCCCCACATTTGCCATCTGCAAGCTGAGATTCAGGTGGTGTAGTCCAAAGGGCTGAGAGCCAGAGAAATGACAACGTAGATTCCAGTCCAAGTCTGAAGGCCTAAAACCAGGACTGCCGAGGACAGAAGGTAGGTGTCCCGGCTCAAACGGTAAGGCAGAGAGGGGTTGACTCCAACCTTCCACTGCCTGTTTGTTCCATCCAGGCCCTCAGTGAATTGGATGATGCCGGCCCACACTGGGGAGGGTGGCTTGCTCTACTCAGTCTACCAATCCAAAGTCTAATTTCTTCCAGAAACACCCTCACAGGCACACCCAGAAATAATGTTTAACCAGATATCTGGGCATCCTGTGATTCAGTTAAGTTGACACATAACATTAACTATTACAATACTTTTACATTCTTACTGTAATTCTGAATTTTAACTGGTACCAGCTGAGTAAGTGTTGATCTGAAATGATTTCATTCTACAGATTTCATAGAAAGCCCCCCCCCTTTTTTGACAAAAGTAATTATATCACTAATCTGGGAGGTGGCGTATGGCTCGCACATTTTTTACCTCTGCAGATGTGTTCCCTGTCTCCAAAATGGACTTTCGAGAATGCGAAAACTGGAGAGAGAGAGGGAAAGATTGAAAGATATAAAGAGAATGACTACATAGTAGATAGAAAGATAGAGAAATGCTTGTTTATCAAATCATAAGCAGCCTTCTCTTCCCCCAGTGCCATGGCCATTCTGTCCCATTGTATTCCTGGGAAACCTCCCATCACTTTAACATGCACCAGGCAGAGGTTAACTGGACTCATTGTAACAGCTCTGTGAGAATGTGGCGTAGCTCACTGAGAATTCTGCAGAAAGACTGCAGGCAGGGCTGAGCTTTGTCTTTCATGAATGTGCCATCTGAATTTCAAGGGGAACACATCATGAATAATAACCAGTGACTTTTGAGATGGCAGTACAGTACACTAGCAGCCTTTTCTTAAAAAAAATTCTTTTTCTTAGAGCGGTACTTTGTTGCTGTGTTTATTTCCTAGAAATCATTGAGAAATACTAGGTTTTCTTTTTTTTTAATCCATGTTTTGAGTGGCATATGTAGAATGTAGAGTGACATGAACAAATTGAAAAGGATTATAAATTTAATAAGGGGTGAGAAATGTCACATAAAGGAAAGATGGTGAGAGATTTCTATAATTTATGAAGACGTGAGGACTATTTTGTAAATCAAAAAAATGTATCACAAAGTATTTAGTTAGCTCTGTTCTTTATATAGTAATGCTTTATAGGCTCCCAAATAAATTGCAACAATGATAATAACAGTAATGATAGTACTTACTTACATAGTATTTATTATGTGCTACTCAGTGTTCTAAGTATTTTATCAATATTTTAATTTATTTAATTCATACACAGCTTTATGGGGCTGAATATTATTACCCCCGTCTTATAGAAAGAGGCATAGAGAGGTTAAGCAATCCACCCACAGCACATGGTGGACGGTGGTGCCTGTATTAACACTCAGGCAGCGCGGCTCCAGGCCTGTGCCACACTACCTGGTTAACAATTTTTCCATTTGTACAGAATTTTAAGTTCTAAAAGATGCTTATACACCCATTATCTTATATCGAGAAGATACTTATACACATACTTATATGATGTATAAACAGTAGGTGAATTTTTGGTCAGGACACTTGAGTCTCAACAGGACTCCGAATGTCACAAAGCAAGCCCATGGCAAAGAGCAGATTCGAATTCAGATCTTCTGAAATGGAGCTCACTCCCTGATGGGTGATGGGCTCAAGTGAGAGGCAAACTAAACAAGTAAGTGATTAAATAACTTGCAGATTATTGGGAGCGCCTGGAAGGAAACGAAGCAGCATGCAGGGCAGGGTTGGCGCGGCTGTTTGAGGTTGCTCAGGAAGGGCTCTGAGAGGGAGCACCACGCGCGGATGCTGGGGACCAGTGTCCCAGACGGAAGGGACAGAAAATGAAAGGTTTCTGCAGAGCGGGAGCTCCATGTAGCCTAGAAATGCCAGTGAGCCAGGGGCGTAGGGAGTGAAAGGAAAGGGTTTAAAAATGGGTAGATCACCAAGGGCCCAAGGGGGTGGATTTGATTTCAAGTATAATGGAAGGTCTCTGCGGTCATTTAAACTCCATTTTCATGTTTCACTTTAAGACGATTCCTTTGACTTTATAGTCCCCCATCATTATTAATAAGACGTGGGTGACTCCGTAAGGGGATGTGACCTTTGGCAAGGCCGTTTTCTTCATTGAGGTCATCCTGGAGGGGGCCCACAGCCTGGGCTGGTCGGCCAGCCGTGCTCCCAGCAGCGGGGGAAGAAGCCCGTTCTCTAGGGGGTGCTCTGGGTGACACATCACAGCAGCCACACTTAACTTTCTATAGTGGCTGGTGACCGAGAGGTCTGATCGCTCTCCGTACGTGGTGGCCTGACCGGGGGGTCAGTGCCTATTGGTTTTCTGTGTTCTTGATTACTGTTTTGAAGGAAGGGGTGAGCCTTGGATACGGGGTGCATCCTCTGGCTACACAAGGCTAGCTGTGTCCAGATCCAGCCAACTTCGCCTTAATTTAAATTCTGTCGCTTCAAGACTGAGCTACCACCTTTAAAGGCATTATTGATAACAGTTCTAATAATGTAATCATTTATTACATACCACTATGTTTCTGCCAGTTTACATATTTTATCTTATTGAATGCTCACAGCCACTCTACGTGGTAGGGATTATTATTTCTCATTGTGCAGATGAGGAAACCGAGACTCAGAGAGATTTAACTAACTTGCCCCAAGCTCTCAAGAAGCAGAGTCAGAGGCGAGCTCTTTTGTGCTCTTACGGTCCTTCCGAGCCATCTGCCTCCTTCACTAGGGCCTCAGGCAGCTTCATGGGATCATTATTACGTAGCAAACACTTTCGCTCCGTGCTCTGTACAAAGTGAGACTCACATGCAACTTCAGGTTTGAAAAAGAATTTTGGAGAAAACACTTCAAAATATTTGCTTTGGTTATTTCTAGATTGTTAGGGTTACAGGCGATTTTGTTTTCTCCTGTACTTTTCAGCATTTACTAAAATTTTACAAGAACATATAATAAATGTGCAAATAGGAAAAGGCCTTTTAATAAAGAAAATAAACAGACAAAAAGATTGTTCAAAAGTGAAGTCAGCTTTCAGTGGGAAAGTGTGAAAAAAGACAACAAAAAACAACCACAACAGAATCCTAGAGTGGACACAATTTATATACTCTGCCCTCATTTGTACAAATAATTCCGTGTATGTATTAGATGAGTTTCTGAATTGCTGATTCTGAATCACTTTTTTCTAGGTTGAAGACTGTTTTCAATACGCTAGGGAAAGTACTTATATAAATAAATATTGATTAATTCCCCCTGTAAAGTTGTTATGATGCTTTTATCCGTACTTTACAGTTTACAAAGGATTTTAATGTGCACTCTCTAGTTAGAGCCTCCCAAGATCAACGTTCAGGGTATTGCTTGCTTCCTTTTTACAAGCACTGAACCAGCCTGAGATTCAGAATTTTTAGTACATTGACCATCAAAAGCTATGGGGGGGTGGGGG